CGCGCTGGGGGGTCATTGTGACAGCCACATCAGCGTTAAGGATATGATGACGTGGAATAAGACTAAATTTAGAACACGTTTTTTTCCCGCCGTAAATTCTGGTAATAGTAATGGACGTAGTGGTAGTATAGCAGCAGCATGAAGAGTGTCGAGGAAAAGACACACGGGAAAAAAAAAAAAAAAAAAAAAAAAAAAGAGCTTAATTGTGTTAGCCACGTCAGCGTTAAGGTTAAGGATATGGTGACGACGGGCAATAGGACAATTCCGAACACGTTTTTTTTTTCCCTCCGTAGATGAAGAGGGTGGGGAAATAAAAATTAAAAAAATTCTAGTAATAGACACGTAGTGGTGGTACAGCACCAGCATGAAGAGGGTCGGGTTTTTTTTTTTTTTTTTTTTTTTTTTTTTGAAGAGCGTCGAGGAGGTGGGGAAGGAGAGGACATGCAGACGTGGAAGGAAGAGGTGGTCTTGGAGAGAGGCGAGTTTTTTTTTTTTTTTTGAATTAGAAAGAAAAAATGCACATGCCGGCTGGAGTTGGTCTGCCAATTGTTTTTGAAATGAGAAACAACAATGATGTACAGGGCCTACACAGGCCGGCTGGAGTTGCTTCTGCCATTCTGTTCTGTTAATTTGATTTTCTTTTTTTTTGCCTTTTCTTCCCCCCCCTCTCTAAGAGTTGGAACCGTTCATCATATTGCAAAAAAAACATTTCTCATATGTTTTGCTCTTGTCGTACTAACATTATTAAAAAAAAAAAAAAAAAAAAAAAAGCAGTTCGTATGCCTGTGTACCACAGTTGAGGAACCAGGACACGCACGATCATGAATGGGTGCCTTTCAAAAAAAGATTTTATTAAAATATTAAAAAATATATATATTAAAATATTTTTAAAAAATATTTATTAAAAAATAGAAAAAAATAAAAAAATATTTAAAAAAAGATTTTATTTATTAAAAAAAGAATGATTTTATTCTGCTCATCTGGTTGCATCTGGATTCGAACTTGGGTCTGTATGTCAACAGTTCATGGGTGTACCAACTGAGGGCATACTCACACTAGGACGTTTTTACTTATTTATATGGATGTAATTGCGGTCAGATGCATGCACCTCCGGCCATAAATGCGGTCGGATACATTTTTGATACAGCTAGTGTGAGTGCGCCCTGAGCTAGGCCCACTGGTTAACTTCACATCAACCAAAAAATTATTATCCTTTAAAATTTTAATTCCTTTTCAACAATGTTAATTCGTTTTGTCCTTCTTTTTTTTTTTTTTTTTCCAGAAGTTTTTTCCTTATGTCGGGGGGTGGTATCCATTCTTTCTTATGCGTCATACCTTATCCATTCCGTAACATCCTAGGCTACCAGAGTGGCCCGGGGTCACTTGCCCGGCCAGGCAAAAAAAATAGTAAAAAAAAAATATACATATTTTATTTTATTTATTATTTTAAATTTGTTAAAGAATTTCGATGTGACCCTGAGGCAAACGTTGTTCAATTTACTTTTCTGCATAACATAGTTTTTTTCCGGATTTTTTGGAGGTCTTTGTTTTTGTTTTTTTTGGCTGGGACCTTCTCTGGTCGTTGCACGGGCTGGCCACCCGGGACCCGGGCGGCCCGGCTGGTAGCCTAGGTAACATCTTATTATTCTATTATCCATTCCTTCTTTTTTTCTTTTTTTTTTTTGGGAGGGGGGGGAGGTGTTGTATCTGCTCATCAATTATCCGTCATACCTTATCCATTCCCTAAAATCTCTTTTTTTTTTNCGCCAATCGCGCCAGAGTTCACCCTCATTAGCCGGTACCCATCAGACAGCCTAAACTGCCAGACGCCAATCGCATCTGATAAGAGGTCCCCCTAGCCGGTACCCATCGAGCAGCCCTATTTCCTTCCCCTCTCTGTCCCTGTCTCTTATACACATCTAGATGTGTATAAGAGACAGCTATTATCCATTCCCTAAAATCTCTTTTTTTTTTTTTTTTTTTGGGAAGTGGGGGAGGTGTTGTATCTGCTCATCAATTATCCGTCATACCTTATCCATTCCCTAAAATCTTATTCTATTATCCATTCTTTCTTTTTTTCGTTTTTGTTTTTTTTTTTGGGGGGGGAGGGGGGCACCGAGGGGAAGGGAGTGGGGAGATATCCATTGCATCCATTCCTTAAAAATAAAAATAAAAATAAAAATAAAAATAAAATCGACGGCCTTGAAATGTCATCACTGAACTGACCAGCCCCAGGTAATTCAGAATTTATATCATTTATCTAATTCCATCAGAATTCGAACAAAGGTCTGCTTAGCAAGGCTTTTTGAAATATAAGGGACGCCGCGCCCGGTTCCCGTTTTTTTGGGAAAAAAAAAAAAAAAAAAAAAAAGAGTTCATCGATGTACCGCTCAGCCACATGGACTGAGTTCTTTCTGCCCTTCCTTTTTTTTTCCTTTTTTTTTAAAGTTTTTTTCTTTTTTTTCTGCCTTTTCTTTCTTAATCGCCACGCTACCCACCACGTTATCCGTAACATAAAATAAACAAATAGATCAATAAACTTTTTAAAGTGGGAAGATGCCGGCGCGTTCTTTTCTTTTTTCTTTTTTTTCTTTTTTTTTTTTTTTGTGCGCGTTCTGTTTCGGTGACGAACTGGCAGTGAATCACATCGTACGAGACTGTTGCCCCTATCAGGGCGTGAAAGTATCTGGACGTCATTAACGACCAGATACAATCCAGGCATTTATCATTATCCCGTCATGGATGAACTGTATCAACGCCGCTCTCCTCAGCAGCTCCCCACCCACAGACTGCAGCTGCCCCTAGAATGTATCTGGACGGTTTTGACTTCCCCATTCAGATAATTCTGAGCTTTTGTTAGAATGACGCTGGACCGGGTTTCAGCCAGGTCCAGGTCGCCACCAATAGAATATACAGACGTCAAGACTGGACAGGAACAAAAAAAAAAAAAAAAAAAAAAAAAGAAACATATTCAAAAAATTCCGAACGAAAACTATATTATGGAGAAACATAAACTAAACAACATTTGCCCGGGCACTACATCCAAATTCTTTACCAAATTTGAATTAAAAAAAAAAAAAAAAAAAAAAAAAAAAGCGCCATATTTCCCTACGTATCTGTGAAGAATGGAATTACCGGTAGCCCGTTTTGTTGGAAAAGGAGGAAAATTTGAGGACATTCAAATCCACGTGCGAATTATGTACCTGGCTGGCTACTTGTCCAGGTGCATTCTGACCGGTGTTATATACGGTATGTATTGCCGGTCGGAATGCACCAGGATAAGCAGCCGACCAGGTTCATGATTCGCGCCCGCCGAAGCTCCACAGGCACGTTTTCCTCGACTCTGGCCGTAGATTGCAAAGAACAGCGTCTATAACAACAACAAACAAAAAAAATAATAATAAATATATATCAAGAATCCGGATAAGTGGAACTCTTTTGCCAATTCTTTAATAGTAAGAAATTTAAACTCTTCTGCACAGGGAAGTGACATTCTTATTAATTTATTAACTTATTAATTTATTGATTTATTAATTTATGAACTTATTAATTTATTGATTTATTTATTTATGAACTTATTAATTTATTGATTTATTAATTTATTAACTTATTCATTTATTGATTTATTGGTTTATAAATTTATTGCTATCCACTCTCTTATCCATTCCAGCTGGCAACGTCTTCACCCGAATAGAACGCCCGGTCATTATAGCTGCATTTGGTCCAATTTTCAGTCTGGGTGCAGCCATACTGACGGGGCGTAATGACCAGGCGTTCTGTTCGGGTGACGACGGTCGTCATTCATTTACTTATATCCAGTCCTTATCCTCATCCCCTCCTTCCTTATCCATTTCCCCACGTACACATCATAATCATTTTTATTTTTTATTTTTATCTTTCCATCATAACTTTCGTATGTATCTTGTCTGGGGGGCCTCACCTATCACTCGCCAAACCTCAAACTTTTGAATGCATCTGGACCTGTCAGCTGTCTGGATACATTCAAAATGTTGGCGTTCGGCTACTGGCGCGGCGAAGCCTTAGGACGGACGGTTGGACGCCTTGTTTGTCGAGAGCGGGAAGGGGAGGGGAGGGGAAGGGAGGGGAGGAAAATGGGAGATCAAGAAGAGGGGTGGAGAGGGGTGAAGGGAAGGATAAGGAAAAGGACTGGATAGGCTGGAGAGGAGTGGGGGGGGGCGCGAAGGGGGAACAAAAACAAAAATAAAAATAAAAAAGAGGGGGGGGGGGGGGGGGGGGGGGGGGGGTGGTGGATAAGATGCCAAATAAATGATATGTAATATTATAAATATTTGAACAAGCGATTTGATGTATTCTGGGTAATTGAGTCTCATTATTACTTCTGTATTGACTCAATTACCCAGTCAAAACCGTCCAGATACAGCGAATTATTTCAGTTTCAACTAAAGTTTCTGTCATCTTCTCTGTACCTTGCTCCCAGTTTCTCTTAAAATGAATTGAAATTGAATAATGATCAATAATCATATTTTTAATTTTTTAACGTCATTCCCTAAGATTTTTTATTCATTTCCATATTTTTTTACTAGATTTGCCCGGTGAACCATATAACGATGTATATATATAGCTTCATATATCTATATATATGACGATATACTCTGATTCACAATGTGACAATATATATATATATCGTCAAACAGAGCTGCCCGGTAAACCTTAGTCAGAGAGGGAGAAGAGGACAACAAACGAGGGGCTGTGACCGACTGTTTATATATATATTACTTCTTTTCCTTTCCTTGTTTTGCTTTTTTCCGCCTTGGCGATCCGATTCACAGTGTTATATATATACAGAGAGAGCGAGAGAGGTTCTGAACAGGGGGAGTTGTAAGTAAGAAGATAAAAAATGAACTCATATCTTTTTTGTTTCCATTTGTTTGTTTGTTTTTCGCTTTTGCGCTCTGATAACTTTGTGACAATATATGCATAACATCGTCGTAGAGAACTTGTATGTGCAGCACACGTACTTCGGAGACCTCCAGATCGGAAGATCCCAACTTCTTGAGCTTGGGAGCCGCGATATTGCGGGCTGCTGACGTGGATGCCCCGGCAGTTGCCCTGCACGTCCCGATCCCGATCGGCACGGATCGCTTCGGCCATCCTCCGGACCTCAGACTTGTGAGATCCTCTGCCACCCGTCCAAACGCTGCCGAGCTCGAGCTACCAACATTCCTCTCCAGCTGCAACGAGGAGGAGAGGGAAGAGGGGGAGGGGGAGGAAGAGGGGGAGGGGGAGGAGGAGGAGGAGGAGGAGGGAGAGGGAGAGACGAGGTGCAGCACGGCTCCGTGACTGCTGACGGGCCCGCTGCGGTGGGACGCTGCGGAGGTAAGGGATCCCGACCCCGCCAGCAAGGCAGCCGACACGGCTGCCCGGCCAGTCGTTGCATGCGCAATGGAAGAAGCCATGGCGTCGCGACTCGTGTAGTCGGGATCGGAGTCCACGTGTCTCAACCTGGTAGCAGCCTCGAGCCCCGACGAAGCGCCGCGGACCTTCGCTCGTCTTCCGCTCGTTCTCCGCTCGTCGTCCCCTCCCCGTCCGCGGACGTCGGCGGCGCGCTGCAGGGGATTCCCTCCCCCTCCCCCCCCCTTGGCCCTCCCCCCAGGCCCGGCACTCCCTCAGTGTCAGTTGCCTGCCTCTCCCCCTGCGCAATGGCCCGCCCCCCCCTTGGCTCTCCCCCCAGGGCCAGCACTCCCTCAGTGTCAGTTGCCTGCCTCTCCCCCTGCGCAATGGCCCGCCCCCCCCTTGGCTCTCCCCCCAGGGCCAGCACTCCCTCAGTGTCAGTTGCCTGCCTCTCCCCCTGCGCAATGGCCCGCCCCCCCCTTGGCTCTCCCCCCAGGGCCAGCACTCCCTCAGTGTCAGTTGCCTGCCTTTCCCTCTGACCAATGGCCCGCCCGCTTCCGCTCAACCACCTGTTTAGCCGCTTGAGTTCGATAATCCCCAGGGTAGCCCGCGGGTCAGTATGCGCCCCCCTCCTCTACGGCCAGATCGCCACCACATCAAAGGAAAAACGATAACGCCCCCAACATACCACAATAAACGGCCGTACTCCTAAAACGGCGAAAAATATTCGCAGCCAAAGGCTGCGCCTTAAATAAAAATACGGCCATAAGCAGTCCATGTGGCTGCATGGTACACGCAAGAATCCCATGGATATAGGGCGTCGCTCCCCTACTCACGACATGCACAAAAGACAAAAATCATAGCGGTGTATCTCTTTCTCTTTTTTTTTTTTTCCTCAAATTCTCTTTTTGCCTTTCACTACCTTCCTCCCACTACTCCTAAGACCATATAGAGGGGACCCCTGCAAGCATAGGGCCTCGCAAACGAGGTAATTCATGTTGGCCCCCGCCCCAACAGCGATGACTCAGAGATGGGGTGGGGCCGCCGGAGGGGGTACGGCTAACGCAAAGACCGTACATTTTGCCAGTAGCAGCGCCTCCCTTTTTCATCGTCCCCCACCCCTCATGGAGTAGCAGCAGAGGCTATGGGGCAGAGGCTATGGCGCCGTGTGACCACCCAAGTACCAAATCCCCATTTCTCTAGACGGCCGCGACCTTGTCCCATCTGAAAAGGCACAGCAGTGTGACGTGAACCATGCCCAAAACCTCAAATGGGCTCTTCCCAAATCCGTATATTTTGCAGACTGTCTCTTATACACATCTAGATGTGTATAAGAGACAGAGGCACAGCAGTGTGACGTGAACCATGCCCAAAACCTCTTTTTTTTTTCTTTTTTCTTTGGGGGGGGGGGGGGGCACAAATGCTCCAGTCTATTCGTTGGGAGCAACACATGCTGGGAACCGGGCCCAGCGTCCCATATAAAATGATACAAAAGATTTGAAATACCAGGGCCATTACCTGGCTTCGGCGAAGAACAATCTTGAGAATTTGAACTAAGAACAATCTAAGAATCACGACAAGAGTTCAGGAGAAATTTAAGAAAACCAAAGATAACTACAGGTTTCTACTAAGAACAATCTTTTTTTTTTTGAAGTACCAGGACCGTTACCTGGCTTCGGCTAAAGACAATCTGAGAACTATAAAGGAGTTCAGGAACAGTTTAAGAAACTTGGATAGCTGCTGACCTACTTGAGACAAAAAAGAAAGCCATATAAGTCCTTCAAATGCTCAGAACCCCTGGAATTCCCCACAAAACATTCTGAAGTTATCTAATCACTGTCTCATTCCCTGCCGAGCTCCCCAGGCCTCATGCCCCTACCCTGCTAGGTTACGGGGCAACACGACGCACCCCAGCTCTGACCCGCGTCGTCCCGACAGCAACCCTTGGTTTTCCTTGGAATGCCCGACCCAAAGCATCCCCAGATCTGTCTACCAGGCCTCATGCTCCTGTTCTCCCGACAGCAACCCTTGGTTTTCCTTGGAATGCCCAACCCAAAGCATCCCCAGATCTCTCTACCAGGCCTCATGCTCCTGTTCTCAACAGGCTACAGGGGAACCCCCCAGCACCGGCCAGCGTCGTTCTGGCATCAAAAACCACAGATCCATGAATAAAGTTCAATAAACAGCGTCACGGAAACCTAAAATGCGTTGCGAGAATTACCCAGGGTCCTTATAACATTCTCAAGACTATCAAGAGAATCAGCAATGTTTCCCCATAAGGAGGGGAAACTGTAACCCCGCAGAAATCCTGCCTCCATCATCGAAGGGAAGACACACAGACTAATCCAGGTGAAGTTAGCGGCCAGTGGCCGGTCCCTGCCGAAATACTCAGCGCCAATCGCATCCACCACCAACTTCCTCCATCCAAATCACCTCCGTCCTCCCCAACTCCGTCCTCGTGAAGAACTTCGGAGGACCTCATCTCCGCGGGGGCCGAGCACCATCATCCCCCTGAAATTCTTTGCCCCCACAAGAATTCCAGTCTCCATCCTCATGGTGGTGAGCTAGCACTACCCAACGCCAATCGCGCCAGAGTTCACCCTCATTAGCCGGTACCCATCAGACAGCCTAAACTGCCAGACGCCAATCGCATCTGATAAGAGGTCCCCCTAGTCGGTACCCATCCAACAGCCCTATTTCCTTCCCCTCTCTGTCCTTGTAAAGAATCATTTGATGCCCCTTGCCCCTTGCTTCAAAGCAAGTCCCCAAAAGCTCCACAGGATGCTCCACCAGGGTTTTTTGGAAACAGAAATTGAGATACCAGAGCCATTACATGGCTTTGGCTACGAAAAACATGAACTACTTAGAACAATTGCAATGACAAACTACAGAAATAGGCAGAATTAAGAGAACGACTCAGAAACCACCCCATCAATCCTCTTTACCTCACTCCGGCAAGACTTACTGCAGCAGAGCCACCATCTCCGCTGCTGCTATACCCTATTCCCATCCTACAAGCTAGCCCCCTCACTAGTAGGATGCTTGATATCCCGCCAACAACTTTTCCACACACCTCTCACGAAAAATAGGACCCATCATCGAAATGAAAAACCTTATTCGTCCTCCCAAAGTCCGTTATCATAAAGAGCCCAGAGAACCTTCTCTCGGCAGGGGGCAAGCACCATCATCACCCTGAAATTCCTTGCCCCCACAAGAATTCCAGTCTCTGTCCTCAAGGGGGTGAAACAACATTGCCCAACGCCAATCGCGCTAAAGCTCGCCCTTAACAGCCGGTACCCATTGGACAACCTAAACTACCCAACGCCATCGCATCTGATAAGAGCTCCCCCTAACCGGTACCCATTGAATTGCCCTCTTCCATCCCCTCTTCATCCTTGTAAAAAATCATTTGATGCCTTTTGCCCCCTACTTCGGGATGAAACCCCAAGACTAAGCGATGCTCCACTTGACCATCCCATGGACCCCCTGTTCAGAATTCTGACGAAGCTCTGACGTATAGAACTAGGTCAAAATGGGAAAACGATCATTTCAGCTAAAAAAACTTAGGAAATCCATTAACACTGAATTCGTGAAAACCTAACAAAACCACAAAACCTGACTTTTTTCATAGAATGAAAAAATAAAAGTCAAATTGTTATATTTGACACAAAAAAGAGAGTTTTTTTAACTGTTTTCCGATAAAGGAGGAAAAAAAACAAGCAAAAAGTCTAGCGATTCTTAAACTGTGCAAGATATTTTTTTCCGGCAAAGAACATGTTATAAGACTATACGTCGTTCTTAGTATATTGACAAAAAGCATAGCTCAAACAAGATAATCTTTAAGGACTGAAAGGTCAACTCGAAAGATGTTAAAAAAATAGTTTCGGTGAATACTCATTTATAGAACTATAAGTCTTTTTCAGCAGTTTGGTAAAAATCAAACTCTGTGAAAAGTAGTTTATAGAACTATAAATTTATATAACTCCATTTTTAAGTTAATTGTAAAACCCTTGCCAAAAAAATATGTCATGTAAAAGAATAATTCAAAACAATTTTTGCTTGGAGACATCTTCAAATTCTTAGCCAACCACGATTTAAAATTAAAAAATGGAAATATATTTTAAAAAAAAATACTAAAAAATAATATATTTGTTGATGTATTCGTGAACATATCCAAGCGAATGTATTTATGAACAGGAGAATATGTGCGCGTGTTTGGGAAACCCTCGAATAGGTTCGTCGTTCTACATACCTTATAGAACTATAAATATGATTTTTTAAGATAAACAAAAAATTGAGATATTTTTGTTCTTGAACAAACGGTGCTTTGCAAGGCAGTAATTTTTTTAAAACAATATTGCTTCTCTCCTCACCACTTCCAGTGGTTCTGAAAAACTACCTTTCTATTCTTTTTTTGTGGTTAATTTACTTCACATAGAATTTCGTTCATGCATGAGATCTGAAAAATGTACTATCATAATCTTTAAAAAACTTTGTGCAAACCTAACAATTTGTTTTGTTAGGTTTTCACGAATTTCATGTTCATTACAACAAGTAAAAAATTAGATATATCCAAGATGTATGTCATTAAGAAAGAAAAATACGAATTTAGGTTTAGATTTTCGACACGATTTTCAAACTAACTTTTCGATCCTCCGCTATTATTAAGACATATTTGACAAAAATTGAAAAGAAACACAAGAATGTAGATTAAAAAAACACTAAGTATAGACTGATGCAAAAAACGATTATGCGAAAATTGACATATTGAGAAAAATTGAGAAGAGCGTGGATTGATACAAGCAATTATGTATGGGAACTCTAAAAAATAAAAAATAAAAAAACAGCCACAAATCAGAAAAGATCAGTGGAAAAACTCATGAGGAGTTAGAAAGTTCAAGTCAACCTGAAGGTGAAAGCTTGGTTATCAGAACTAGAAGACAACCAAGCCATGCGTGGGCTGAATCCTAATCCAATAGAAAGCAGTCCCCCATCCCTTCTTCTTCAACCAAGCTACAATTACCTCACACCCCTCAAACCCTACCCCTGCATCCTTGGGGAAGAAAAACTCATTTTCTCCCACTGCGTCTCAAAAAATTGGTCTTGGCGAGAGAATCAACTTTGATC